ACTAAGTGCCTCTACGTTTCTTCCTAACCAGATTCCACTTTCATCCTGGGTGGAAAGGCACTCAGTAGCATTTTCCAGCTTCTCTTGTATCATAGAGTCAACCAACGAGATAATAGGTAGAAATTGTGAGAGAGAATTCTAAAAAGGTCCTCTACAGTAGAAACACATAGCTGATAATGGGTACTTTTTATCTCCCTGTTCTCCATGTTTTTTTATTTTTTATTTTTGCCTAGAACTTATATGCAAGGGCTAGAACTCCAGCAACTATCTTGATCCAAAAAGGAACCTTGAGAATAAAGCCATGTGCCAAGACTAAGCAATTCAGCAATTCAGCAAGAAAGAAGTCTGAGTGCTGGATGATCATAGAATCATGCCTCTTGATCTGGAGAGAAAAGAGAACTTTGTGTGTGTTTAAGTCATTGTTTATGGTTTTCTATTATGGAAGGCTCTAATATTTATTCTCTTCATAAATTTAGCTATTTTCCTAATATATATGATATGTTGATTTGTTTTAATCTACTGCTCCTCTTTCTACAAATGGTGGCTTATAGATGGGCTGATCTCAGCTAACACCCAACACAATGAAGATTTAGGCATTCATTGCTTCATTTCTCCCTCAGTTTTCCTGCCCAGAAACTGAGAATAAAAATGATATGCACATCAAAGTGTTTGCTATTTTTCGGCCAGACAGATTTTTTTTTTTTTTAAAACTGTTACTAACTCAATGGTACCAATAGAGAAAACAGGAGACAGGAAAAGGAGATAAAACTCAAACCAGGATATTATCCCACTTGTGAAAAGCCCTTCCCAGTTGCTTCTTATAAACATCAGTGGGAAAAATGTCAATAAGTTGAACCTTAATTATTGCCATTTTACCCTCATTCCCACGCTCAGGAATCGCTGAAATCTGACTACACATGTTGCATTATACACAAGAAGAAAGAAAGAAAGAAAGAAAGAGAGAGAGAGAGAGGAAAAAGACATTTTGAGAACACTGGCTCCAGGAGGACCTCTTGCCCACAGTCACTGGAATGGAGAAGACAATTACTGCCTTGGTATTTTCCATTTGGTTAAGTTGACTCCCAATGACGTGAAACACGTCCTTTCAAATGGAATTTAAAAAAAAAAAAGGAAGTTCTGCTCAAATTCTTATATTAGGTAATTTCATTTCTGCTCTTATGCACATTAAAATAAACTGGTTGGAGAAAATTCTTGCTAAATTAAATTTGATTTGATTAGGAAATTTGTGTCACATGCAGGCAAAACATGGTATGTGTGGGTTAAAAATGTCCTGATTATTGAAAAAAAAATCATTTTAGCAGATGAATCAGTTCTGCCATCGCTTCATTAGGGAATTAAACTTGTGTTCATGTAGATCTGTGTTGGGGGTGAGCAAGGCTTTGGCTTTTCGTTGGGAAATCGCTCAAGCAGTAGACAGTTTGTCTTTTCTGAAGAAAAGTAACAGCCTCAAAGGCTGGAATATTTGAGTACCTTCAAATCCTTCCTGCTCTGGCTCCATATGACTCTTTCTTGCTACTTCCTACCAATGTCACCATTTTCTTTTCAAAAACCAGTTTCTTTGCTCTGCCAGCCTCAACAGGCACTGAAAGGGAGGGTTGGCTTCTGAGTCTCCTCTGCCCTGCTCTCTATCCTTAGCTGAATTTCAACCAAAATAATTATCTTCCATTTTATTGCCTGGCTTCTAGAATAAATGGGAGAATTTAAATAAGGTCGGTTCGAAGTTTTTCAGGGAGATGGAAGGTGCTTGTTAGAGAGAGTCAAACCCCTTATGGCAAGGAGATAGGTCAAAGGGCAACTATTTGATGGTACTTGATACTTGCCCAGAGCACAATGAATCCAAGATGGCCCATTTTCTAAGGTTTCAGTGAAGGCCTGTCTTTTACCCCCAGACACCAGAAGTTATACTCTGGTAAGACACATGAGAAGAATATTACATTTTATAGTTCACTGAAAAAACACTCAGATGTGTAGGAGCAAATTAAAACATGAGGAAGAATTTCTGGAGCATTATTAATAGTACTTGTCAAAGGAAAGCATGACCAAAACGAGGTTTATATCTGTGAAACAGAGATTACTGGACAATACTCAATCCAGGGACCTGGTCCCACTATGGCATCTCATTTCTCTGGCAATGATCAGTGTGGCATTGGATGGAAGCCACCCATCACCATTTATACACTCAGCACCTCCAGAGGGCACTGAGCATATTTTGATCTTTGCTCTTATTCACGATAATTCTGATTATTTCAAAGTTCTGGAAAGAGGCTGAGAAGGGATTTTTCTTTTGGGGGAGGTGTAGTTGGCACTAAGACTATCCATCACTCTGAGGCTCACTCAGGATCAACATGATCCTGCAGAATTGTCCTAACGGTGCCAGGCCTGGACTCACACTGTGATGGTTTGGATGTGAGGTGTCCCCACACAGCTCCTGTGTCAATGGAGAACTGTTCAGAGGTGAAATGATTAGATTATGTGCATCACGACCTAATAAATGGACTAAGTCATTTTATGGGCTAATAATTTGGAAGGACTACTGCACTGGGTGGTAACTGTACACGGGTGGGGCATGACTGGAGGAAGTGGGTGTCAGGGGGCACGCCCTTAGGGATAATGTCTTGTGACTCCAGCTCCTCCTTCTCTCTGATTCCTGGCTACCATGAGGTGAGTGGCTTCCTCTGCCACTTGCTTCTGCCATGTGGCTCTGGCTCACCTTGGGCCTGGAGTGATGGAGTTGGTGGACCATGGACTGAACCTTGAAACCTATAAGTTCAAAATAAACTTTGCCTCCTCTAAGTTGTTCTTGTTGGGTATTTGTGGCACAGCAACGAAAAGCTGACTAATGTACATGTCTATCTGCATGGATTAGAAGGAGAAAGCCTAATTCTTAAAGTTTTATCATTCCATATCATTTGGCTGACTAAGGAAATAATATAAACCAGAATGGAAATGTAATATGTGTAATATATGTCACATGTGTTTACTTGTGGATCCCTTTATATAGATAGGATTTGATAGAGAGGCACCAATATCTAAACCAATAAAATTGTCCTCACCCCAAAGCACTCTTTGCAGCGGAGAAAAAAGTCACAGAGTCACTAAAACTCAGAGGACCCCATCTTGAAAATGGTGCCTCTGTAAGGATCCTGGAACTTTGGCTTCTGTGGCTGTGGAATCAAGTGTTGTAATCAGGACTCCCCAAACTCCCAAAACTCCACTCCCCAAACTCCCATGGAGCACACCTGAACCACGTTACAGGTCGGGAGACTCCAAAGCGTATTCAGTGATTCATTGTGTGAAATTATCTGAGAAAAAAATTTTCCCCTGTTTTTGTGATTATTGGACAAAGAAAATACTGGAAGAACAACAGCATAGTCTCTGATTTTCAGAAATTTTATATAATGATCTTAGACCCGACTCAATAAATAGCCCAAATAGCTTTAAGAAAGTTGATCACAGTCAATTTCTGGAGACAATATTTCCATTAACTAAATGTCTAATTTATTTTTTGCTTTATGTTCCCTCTTTGTTTTTATTGTTAATGGAAGTATAATTTACATAGATTAAAATGAACAGATGGGTCTTGATAAACGACATGCAACCCACACTTGTATAAAGATATACATTTCCATCATTCCAGAAAATTCCCCTGTGCTTCTTATCCATCAATCCCCTTTTCCCTCCCAAGGTAACCACTGTTTTGATTGCTATCACCATTAATTGGTTATGCCTTTTCTAGAACTAAGTAAAATTGATTAGTAGGCTGTGAACTCTTTTGGACCTAATGCCTCATGTTTTGAGCATCTATAGAAAACTCTCCTTAGTTTCCTCATCTGTAAATTAAGGGAACTGCCCTGCAAATATGTGTGCAGCTATTCTGAGGTGCCCTGGGTTTCCTGGTGGGGGTGGAGGACCACAGAAGTCACCTTGATTGGGGGTGGGATGAAGAAGGGGTTGAGGAGTGGAACTCTCCTATATATGAGAACCACGGGTCTCAAAGACTCTTAATGACCCCTTTTCCAGAATGTTCCATAAATCACCATTCGTGTTTTCTGATATGAGAACTGTGACTGGTCCCCTCCAGGGAGGGTTGGAAGGGTTGGAAGACAGAGGCAGCCAGACAGGCCCCCCCCAGGGAGAGCCTGGGCACCAAGCACTGTAATATTAGTACTGGTTACAATCAGATAGCACCAGTCCAACCGAGGCGCCTAGACAATAGGCCAGAGGCCATGGGTGAGGGGAGGCACAAAGACAGCATTCAAAAGAGCCGACTCCGGCAGCCAGTGAGCATTTCTATAGACTCCACCAGGCCCTGGCCAAGCCTGGATGTTACCCTCCTGCCAGAAAGCCATTTTTTTTTTCATGGTGAGCTTTTAAACTGCTAAAAATAATAAACACAGAAAGGAAAGTGCTGACACAACCTTAAATGCAGAGACAAACTGAAACTGTGTTGTTCTAATAATGAAAACAAACTTGGGCTCCAAATTATAACCCAGAGTTCCAGCCGGCTGCCTGATGTTAATGCGCACCTCAAGACGAAAAGAGAAGTCAGAGGATTTATCAGCAGAGAAAGTAGAACAGCGCTGCACAGGGGCTTAGCCCTCTCCGACTTGCTCTCACCAAATGGCTCATCTAATTCTTATGGTTTTTGTTTGTTTGTTTTAGCATTCCGTGATGGAATGAGGGACTAGATCCATAGGAGAGGACTGTTGTTGAAAAAACAAGTGAAAAATCATACTACAGTGTTTTTTCCACTGTACTATGATTATTCTTTCCCTCAGTGAATTGCTACCCTTCCTTTTCTCTAATGCTTTTATTTTTCCAGGTCATTTGATGTTTTCTGTTTCTCCCAAATACCTACAGAGTTCACTATGGTACATAACGAAAGCAGCAATGCCACCAATCGGAAGACAGTTCCTGTAATGTACAAGAGTGTCAAAATCACAAATTTGCAAACAGCCAACTCAAGCCTGGCATCTGACCTTCTTCGTCATTCGATCACATGTGGAACTTGGCACCACGCAGGTCAGCCGACGGGAGGGAAACCGCAGACCTGGAGAAAAGGAAACACAAGAAGATAAATATAAGTTGGTTTTCTTTTTTTTGTTGTTGTTTTGTTTTTAAAACTTTCCCAACATTTGATTAATCTGCAGCTGCTCTGATTTCGATGCTTAAATAGTTTCTGGTTTCAGACCTGTCTCTGATTTTGAATAAATGCAAATTGACTTAAGATAAAAATCTCACTGTGAAGGGGACATGGTTTCAGGGAAAGGGACCTGAACACAAGGGCTGATATCACATATTATAAGCATGGGACAACTTTCCTGGCTCCCAAAGACCTATTTCTCTGTGGAATTTCAGGAACAAGACCCATGAGTTTTGGATCCCAAGCCTGGGAAGATGACTGAAAGACAAATGTGAATTTCAAACCAATTAGGAATTCTGTGCTCAAGTGGACCCAGCTTTATGTCAGAGGCTGGGTCATGGGATAGGACTTAGATAAATGCTGCATCCCTGCCATGGCAGAGACACTGCTGGGTGGCACCTCTGGGGAAAGGGCAGATCTATCAGGGCATATGTCAGGGGAGCCACCCGAGCTCCAAGCTATGGAACCATCTAGATTGGGTGAAGTGTGATCATATCGGGAATACCTCCCACAGACACAAACAAGATGACTTGGGCGGCCAAACAGATGTGGCATCTGTTCATGTGGCAGCAGATGTCTTTCGGTGTCTGTCTATACTGCAAGTGAGAAACTGCTTTTCAATTGGGGCCCCATGATTTTTGTAGTGTCTGTTAAGGTGAACTTAGAAATCATGGAAAACCTGAGGTCCGGAGAAAATCTGGGTTCCTACCACCCAGAGTGGATCACTGTTAACATTTTTTTTTTTTTTTTGTAATTCCTGTTCTTTGTGTTCAATTAAGAAAAATAGAGCAGAGGTATAATCTCCTTGACCAGTCTACCCTAAGCCCAGTTCATAAATCTGTTTATACCTTTCCAGAACACTTTTTTTTGCATTCACATACATATCTATGTTTCCAGGGCGATGAACAGTGTTTGTGTGTTTTTAATTACCTGTGTGATATGAATCTCTCTATATGTATCTCCCCATCTAGATTTGTGACTCCACATTATGCATGTGAGCTTTAACCCTGATCATCTAGAGCAGCTCATTCCCTTTAACTGCTGAGTTGAATAAATATATACTTGGTTATTGTCTTTTCCCCCAACACCCATCGTTTATGGCACCATAAAAGCACTAGTTATATCATTAAAGTGATTGTTGGTTATGTGTGGGTGTGCTTATGCATGTGTGTATGTGCAGATTTTCTCTGCTACTCAACTCTGGGCTTCTAGGCAAGTGCTTTGCCACTGAGCTGTATCCCCAGCTCCACTCTGGGCTTCCTGAGGATGTCACCTTGCCTTGTGTTTACTTTGACTCTGCCACATTATGACAGTGCAAAACACACACTCCAAATGTAGAAAGTCAATGCATATTTTTATTATAAATCGACTGGCTTGTTATTAATTTTCTTCCATTTTAAACAATCTATAGGAAGATTCTGAAGTTGTATTTATCCCATTCCTTCAAGATTTCTCTCGACTATTCTTGTCATAAGCCTTCTAATCTGACACCTTCAACTTCCCTGTTTACTAGACCATCAGAAACCCTGATAGCATGAGGTTGAAGACCAAAACATTTAAAAGCATGCTCTCTCCTAAAAGCATGCTCAAAAGAGGAGATTAATAAACCAAGAAGCAGCTCGTGTTTGTAATTGTTGTTATGACATTGTGCAAATTTTGAGTAAATATATATCCTTACCCTGACATTATGTCTAAGAATAAACAGTGCCTTTTGCATAAACACAACATATTTATGTGTATACATATACATATATATATATATATATATATATATATATATATATATATAAACATATTTGAAAGTGTAAGTCTGATATAGACTTTGAAGAATATATATGAACTTGACTCCATGAAAACAAAATGAATTCTGATGTAATTAACAACAATAAGCATTAATATATAACATTTATTCGGCAGTTTGTGGTCTGGGTTGTGCTACTTATTTCACTTCATTTCGCAATTTAATCCTCATGATATGAGGTAGGTAAAATTATTTAAAATCCATTTTCAAGATGAGAAAAAAAGAGGCGGAGAAAGGTTAGATATTTTGCCCAAAGTCAAACAGTGAACAAGAGCCTAGCAGGGATCTTACCCAGGCAGACTGATGTCATGGGCCTTGTGAAAACAGGCTCAGGTTTTAAAGACAAAACTGCTGAGAAGAAACTGAAAAACAGTGTCACTGAGGTGACTTCCAAATTTTGCTGTAATACAAACAGAGCATCTTTTTTCCATGATTTGTCCCTGAGAACAAATCGTATCAGAGCCCTTCAAAGAAGACAAATTCAATGTGATTTCCTTGTCATGAAATTTAAAGGAGCAAGGTCACATCCTAAGCCTTTCCAGCTTAAACATATCCATTTTAAATTTGTCTTCTCTTTAGAAAAGAAGAAGCTGTGAATTTGCTCATTCACAGGAGACTTCCCAGTTTTGTTTACATGAGTTTCAAGGCAAAAATGAGAATCACTCCCCTGGACAACTTTAGCTCAGAGCATGCGTTCATTACACATTTTTAATTCGGGCACAAATATATTAACAGTGCAGTTATTTTGTAGTTTGAAAAGAATCTGTTTTGTAACTGATTCATATTTATATTTGGAATACATTTATTTCTGGGCATGAAACAGTTCATTTTGGTAGGCCATCTGACCCGAGGTGAGGTCGGCACTAATTCCCATGGCTGCTCCCAATTAAAGCAAATTGAAGGTTAAAGGATAAATAAAGTCCTTTTGACTTGGTTTATTAATCTGTTATTTATAAATGGCTCTTTATTTGGTCTATTTTGAGGGGAGAGAGCAGTAACTCTGTGCATATGAAACTGCACAGAATAAACTGGCAAATACATAATGAGCATTTTATTGCAAAGTTTTAAAGGAGCTACATTTATATTGAATTTATTTCTTCAGGGTTAATGACATGGCAAAAGTTCATTATATTCATCTTGAATCTGATGTCTGTAGCCTGAGATAGACTGAGTGGAATGAGTAGCTGACATTCCTTATCTGTGATGGTCCTGGGGATGGAACCCAATGCCTCCCACACACTAGGCAAGAACTCTACCACTCAGCTACAGCCCTAGTCTCTTTTGCTTGTTTTAAAAGGACTTATACATTCTTTTAAAATTTTATCTTGACAGTTACAGTTTCTCCTTATATCATTAAATCAAAATCACACTTATTGAAGGCCAGCGAAGTCTTTCCTTTTGCTATTCCAAATAGGACTTCAGTGTATCACTATGCACAAGTGCCAGTTCTCACCCATAAGGTAAGGTGTAGGACAAACCTGGAGAAATGGAATTGGCTATTTAATGAGTATGCACGCTTTTACATTTTGATTGACATTTCTGAATTAGACTCCACAGAGGTTGTTTCAATTTATATTCTGTGTCTGAAAGTCACTGTTTCCCCATACCTTTGATAACACACGTTATCGTTATCCAACATTATTCTTTATATATTGATGTGAGTTTGAACTCACACATCTCTGGGGTAAATAAAGTTGAGAATCTTTTGATATCTTTAAAAGCCTTTGTCTTATTCTGTGAATTTATCTCCCACCTTTTCCTTCTTTCTTTCCTTCCTTCTGTCTTTCTCCCTATGATTTATCCATGCATTTTTTTCTGCTGGGTTGATGAATACATTCTTATTGACACTGGTATACTGATGCCAAAGACTCTTAATTCTTTTGGTTTTGCTTGAGAAAGCTTTGTTAATGCAGGACGGATTTTTTTTTTCTGTAGTTTTGCTTTTTGTTTTCTTTTTTAAAATTGTGGTAAAACACTTAACATGAGAGCTATCCTCTTAAAAGTTATTATTATTATTTTTTTAATCTACGACATAGCATTGTTAATACTAGGCCCAGTGCTCCGTCCTTCTCTTCATCTACCCTTTATCATGTCACTGTAGTTCTGCCTCTTGAAGAGGCTGAATATTTTTATGTGCTTTTTGATCCTGTTATTGGTCATGTGACATGTTTTACGAAGTAGGATATTGTCAGATATGCTGCATATATATCAATTTGAAAAAGTATGAAAAAGTATGATTGCCATGAGAACATGACTGAGCTCCCTGTCTTGGGTGAGAAATACACAGTGTAGTTGGTTTGCATCAGTTGTCTCTGTCAGGTCACCCAGCTGACATACAGCTGACCACAGGTGTCTGAGTGAGTCCTGCTGGGTCTGGAAGAACCAATCAGCCAACCCTTCCTTAGACTTGTGGACTCTCACGAATACTAACTGTTTCAAACTTCTGAATTTTGGGGTAATTTGTCATTACCCCAAAGGAACCTCAAGTGATGTTATTATGCATTAGATAACTGCTACAGGACTCACCCCTGTGGCACTCAAAAAAGAGATGCCCACATAGAAGTTGGTTTGGAATTAGGCAATAAAATTCAGCAAATGTTCTCCAAATGCCAACTGGGAAGTGTATTCAGAGTATAACTATAAGATGGTTTAAGCATTTAAATACAAGAAGCATATGCATGCAATTGATTATACAGGTGAAGGAAGGAGCAGGAGGCATAGGAACTCAGCAATGACAGGAAACCCCTAACTCTCAGTATAAGAAGGCAGATGTTGATACTGGAACCCTGTGTGCAGGGCCACCCAACAGAGATGGATAGCCTAATGGGCCTGTCCAGTAAGAGCTGGGGCCACAGAGGAGACATGACTATGATTAGAGATCCCGTCTAATGCAGAGAATGGAGACATCCTGAGTTCCCCTTTGCTTCAGATCTGTTTTCTCCCTCCAAGGCCTTCCCATGATTAGACCCAGAGGAGGCACAGTCCCCAGGAGGCAGTGTCTCTGGAGAACAGGGCAAGTGAAGGAAGGATCTGGGAGCAAACAGGTGAAAACACCTTTGTGATATGTGGCATGCTAGAATGTGCTCGGTGCTGAGTGCCACATTCA